TGCAGTATTTGTTTTACTGTTTGTGAGTTACTTCACTGAGGACAGTTGTCTCTAGTTTATCCAAGTTCCTGCTTAGGAAATTATTTCATTTTTTATGGCTGAGTAGTTTTCCATGAGGGTGCATGTGTGCACACGCACATGTGTGTGTGTTTGTGTGTGTGTACTGTATAAATGATATTTTTCAGATGTCATTTATTGATAGAATTAATTTTTGTGTGTTTACTTTGTATCCTGTGACTTTGCTGATATCACATATTAATTTCTTAGGATATTATAGGTATCCATGTCATCTGCAAATAAGGACAGTTTTATTTCTACACTCTGTGTTTGATTTCTCTTTTTCCCCCCATGCTTTATTTCACTGGTTAGGACTTTGAACACAATGCTGAGTAGGACAGGTTGATGGTGGTCATTATTGCCTTTTGTCTGATCCTGAAGGTGACCATAGTGATGAATCTCCCAGTCATAGCTGGAGTCATCAGGATGAGGAAGTTCTGTTCTATTTGTAGTTTGCTGAGAGTTTTTATCATAAATGGGAACTAAATTTTGTCAAATGCTTCTTCTGTATGTTTTGAAGTGATCGTTTTTTCTCTTCTTTAACCTGTTGATGTGGTATACTACAATGACTGTTTTGAGTATTAAATGCATCTTATATTTTTGGGACAAACACCACTTGGTCATTATATTGTATCCTTTCTTATGAGGTCTGACAGTTATAAGTTCTAGAACTCATTCTAGAAAAAGTGCTGCATACCTCAGTGTTGTATCACTATGGTCACTTCCATGATATTCCCCTTGGGAAGCTATGCCCTGGTATCAGTGCTTAGCTCACCCTACAAAGCAGTTTTGGAACTCTTTTTCTGGAACGACCGTCAGATCTGTTAGCAGGCAGCACACAAAAACACACAACAATAATGGATGTATTCAGTAAGACGTCGCCACACATTGACACACACATGGGCATGAGACAGTGATATACCAAGATTATGAAACTTAGTTGCTTGTACCATGCTACCAACATAACTGCAGGGGGCAAGTTGGTGGACTTAATTGTCACTTAGTGTCTTTGAACTTAATGTCTTTAATAAATGCACAACTTTTCAGATGTCATACTCTCTTTTCTGTCAGTTTTGTTAACATGCATCTTTTGAGGAATTGGCTCCTAAATTGAATTGCTGTTGTTGATTGTCATAGTATATTCTAATTATTCTTTAATCTTGGAATCTGTAGTGCTGTTTTCTTTGACCTTGGGATCAGTGCATTGTGATTTCGCTCTCATTTTCTTCATCATTTAGCCAGAGATTTATCAGTTTCATTGATTTCCCCCACCCCACACTAGCTTTTGCTTGTTTATTTAGTACTTTATTAATTTTTCTTCTTTGCTTTTTTTCTTTCTTTCTATTTTGGTTTTAGTTTTTACCTTTTCTAGCTTCTTAAGGTAGATACTTAACTAAGTACATTAATTTTGAGCCTTTTTTGTTTTCTGTTTATCTCCTTTGCCCATTTTTGCATTGTGTTTGGCTTTTCCTACTGATTTGTTTTTTGAGTGCTTAGCATACAATGGTGTAGTTTTTTCTCTAGTTTATCATTTTCAGTTTTGATTGTGGTAATGTTTTATGGAAGTTCGTTAAGATTTATATAGCTGGCTTGGTGCCTGTAGCTCAAGTGGCTAAGGCACCAGCCACATACACCAGAGCTGGCAGGCTTGAATCCAGCCCGGGCCTGCCAACAATGACAACTACAACCAAAAAATAGCCGAATGTTGTGGTGGATGCTTGTAGTTCCAGCTACTTGTGAGGAAGGCCGAGGCAAGAGAATCGCTTAAGCCCAGGAGCTGGAGGTTGCTGTGAGCTGTGATTCCACAGCACCCTACCCAGGGCAACAGCTTGAGGCTCTGTCTCAAAAAAAAAAAAAAGATTTATGTAGTTAGTGACATCAGTCTACTTTATATTTTATGTCAACTTTAGTAAATCTTATATACTACTGCAAACATTTTTTGATTTACTTGTTTTTATAATTGCTTTATTTATTTATTTTCAGAGACAGAGTCTTTGTCACCCTCTGTAGAGTGCGATGGCTTCATAACTCACAGCAACCTCCAGCTCTAGGGCTTACGTGGCTCTCTTGCCTCAGCCTCCTGAGTAGCTGGGACTACAGGTGCCCGCCACAACACCCAACTACTTAATTGCTTTATCTTTTAAGATTTAAATTTTTTTTTTTGAGACAGAGTCTCACTTTGTCACTCTGGGTAGAGTGCTATGGTGTCATCATAGCTCACAGCAACTTCAACCTCTTGGGCTCAACTTCTAATTCTGGAGCTCAAGGGATTCTCTTGCCTCAGCCTCCCAAGTAGGGACTGTAGGCACCAGCCACAATTCCTGGGTATAGAGATGAGGTCTTGCTCTGGCTCAGTTAGGTCTCGAATTCCTGAGCTCAGGTAATGCACCCACCTCGGCCTCCCAGTGTGCTAAGATTGCAGGCATGAGCCACTGTGCAAGATTTAAATTTTTACTCCTTAATTTATTTTGGTTATGGGGTGGCATGAAGTAGGGGATTGATAGTGTTTTTTTCCTAAATGATTACATGGTTTTCCTCAATATGGGATCTGATAGTTAAGTTCACTAATTTATTCTAGAAAAAGTGCTACATACCTCATTGCTGAATATTGCTATGGTCACCTTTAAAGTACTCCCCTGGGAAGCTATTCATGGATGCCAATGTCTAGTCTAACCTTCAAGGAGCAAATTTGGAACTCCTTCTCTGGAATGACCATCAGAACTGTTGTCTGACAATTAAGTTTGCAAATTTGCTACCATGCACTTATTTTGGAGCAGGGTACAAACTACTTGGTAAGGTTTCATAATCTTGGTATGTCAGTGTCTTGTAGTTATGTTTGTGTCAATCTGTGGTGGTGTCTTACTGAGAGGTATTCATTATTGTGTGTTTATGTGTACAATATGACGACAGCTGTGATGGCTATTCCAAAAAAGGGTTCCAAAATTGCTCTGAAGTGTATTGTAGGTGCTGGTGTTAGTGCAGAGCTTCCAGAGGGAAGTACCTTGAAGATGACTGTAGTGATATTTAGCAGTGAGGTAAGTAGCACTTTTTCCAGGACAAGTTCATGAACTTAATTGTGAGACCTTGTGTTTTTCATTATATAATCTATTTCCTCATTAATTTTTAGCAGCATTGTTTTAATCTCTTCATCTTTTCTGAAATTTCTCAGTTATAGTCATGGTTATAAATCTGTTACATGAATGAATCATTTTGTAAGGTTTCATAAAAGAATTTTGTTAAATGTATGTAATAACTCAGAATAATTTCTTTAGAGTAATTTTTCCCATTTAGAAACCTGTCATGTCCTTTAATTTTAGGTGTTTTGTTGTTTTAACATCTGTAAGTAAAGCTTTATCGTTTTCTTATTTATGTATTCTTGTTATTTTAAGTATTTGCTGGTATTTCTTTTTCTACTGTGTTTTCTAACTGGTTATTGCGAATAATAAATTCTTTAAATATTTGGTACTTGAGACAGTTGTCTTTGGAAAAAGATTCTTTAATGATGGCTTACTACTGCTTTGCTATTACCTTATAAAATGTCTTAGTAAAAATAAAAGCTGCTAGATTGAAGGTCATTAGATTTCAGCACAGTATTAAGGCTATGAATTTGTTGACCTTATTCATTTCCTATTTTAGTCGTCATCCCAACATTTTTTTCTCTCCTGGCTACCCTTCCTTTAATCTCCACTTCTGGCTTCCCTTTTTCTTTGTCTTCCCATTAACATTGAGTTATGAATATGATCATATTTTGAGATTGTGAGATTTAGGATGACAATGACTTTCCTGTTCTATCTAGTATGCAGTGTTTTACACATGTATTGAATATAAGTATTTACTGAGGTTATAGGATTATAAAATTGGATATTTTGAACTAATCGTTTTGATGTTTTACAACAACAGATTTCAGTGCTCTGAAAATATTTATATTCAAATGTGAACAATTGTTGTTACCAGTTAGGTATTCACAGAAAAAAATCTCATTAGTGGTTAGTTTATGTTAACTAAATAATTTACGAGGTTTGTACATTGGTAAAAGGTGAGCTTATTTCTCATAAAAGGTAGCACAGCTCCCGCCAGAAGCCAGATGCATATGCCTCAAAGAAGAGATAATAGGAAGTAGGATTTTATAGTGATTGGGTGGTCAAAGGTGCACATTCAGCAAGGAATAGGAGGAGCCATGGCTGTTTATGAGGGGAAATCACACATGTGTAATTGTGCTTTATTTTTCCTATCCCATCATGACTGGGAATTCAACTCTAATGTGTTTCTGGGGCCCCTTTGGATGAGAGAGGTCCATTCAGTTAGCAGCGGGGTTAGGATTTTTAGTTCATGTTTGTTATGGGGAGAAATGATGTCACTAAATGCTAATGATCATTTGAAAAATTCCTTCCCGTCCAATATTGCAAACATTTTCAGTTTTTGAAATGGCAATATTTATTTTTTACTCATTTTCATTCAGGTAGAATTTATACAGAGTAAAATTCTCTTTTTGGTGTCCAGTTTGTTAAATGTGGGTAATTTTATAGAGTCTTGTAACCACTGCCACGGTCAAGATGCAGAAGTTCATCACAGGTTTCCTGTGCTGCTTTGCAGGTGGGCAGGCCACCCCATCCTAAATCAGCCACTTAGTACTTTATTTTTTTACCCATTCTCTAATTTTTAGAAGTATATTCACTGGTTTTAGTAGTATATTTAGTAGTGAAGCCTTCACTGCATTCTAATTTTAGAACATTTCCATTACCAGGAATGAAACTCAGACCCATTTAAAGTTGTTCTCTCTTTCTACCGCTAGCCTGAGGCAACCACTGATATATTTTCTGTAGACTTACCCTTTTGGGCAAACAGAATCATGTAATGTGTTATTTTATGTCTGGCTTCTTTTATTGGACATGAACAATATCAAGTTTTAAGCATATTCATGAAATTACTTTTTTTTAAAACAGGGGATGACTGTACTAATGATGGGGTCAGCAGAGGCTCTTCCTGAAGAACCCTTAGCTAAAACTGTCTTTGTAGAAGACATGACAGAAGAGCAGTTGGCATCCGCTGTAAGACATACCAGATCTTATGTGTGATCACTACTGTTTGAATGACAATTATTAATGTGTCTTGTAGAAAGTACCATGTAAATGTTTTTGAAGGTTTTTTTTTGAGACAGTCTCACTTTATTGCCCTGGGTAGAGTGCCATGGTGTCATCATAGCTCACAGCAACTTCAAACTCTTGGGCTTAAGTGATCCTTTTGCCTCAGCCTCCTGAGTAGCCGGGACTACAACTCCCCACTGTTAAAGACTGACTAGTTTTTCTATTTTTTTAAGTAGAGATGGGGGGTCTCATTCTTGCTCAGGCTGGTCTCAAATTCCTGAGCTCAAGCAATCCACCTGCCTTGGCCTGCCAGAGTGCTAGGATTTTACAGGCATGAGCCATTGCTCCGGACCATTTTTTTTTTTTTTGCAGTTTTTGGCTGGGGCTAAGTTTGACTCCACCACCTCCGGCCGGTGCCCTACTCCTATGAGCTGCAGGCGCTGCACTCCGCCAGGCCGTTTTTGAAGATTTTATTGTTATTGAAACCACAAGGAGGCCTGGTCCAGTGTCTGTGACTATAATTTTATAGATGAGGGTTGTTCTAACATGCACACATAATAATAATATAAAGTCATTTAATATCTCTAATAAATGTATCTCTGGTAGATAACACTATGTGATTTTTTTTTTTTTGTGAGAAAATAGGATCAAAGAGGAGTTTAAATGTTGGCATATTTAAATTCTTAAAAATCCTCTGTGTTAAATACATACTTTTTTTCCTGAATTTAAATGTAGAATTAGTTTATAAGCTGGCTAACACGTGTTTCAAATGTTACTTTTAAAAATTTTTATATTTTATTTATTTATTTATTTTCTTGAGACAGAGTGTCACTCAAGCTTCCGCCCTCAGTAGAGTACTGTGGTGTCACAGCTCACAGCAACCTCAAACTCTTGGGCTTAAGCGATTCTCTTGTCTTAGCCTCCTGAGTATTTGGGACTACAGGTGCCTGCCATAATGCCTGGCTATGTGTTCTTGTTTGAAGTATTTCTATCTGTATTTTGCTACCTTGTTCTCATGGTAAGCCTACAAAAGAGGCAGGACTGGTAGGATCATTCTCTTGATATTTATTTATTTTTTGAGACAGAGTCTTTGTCACCCTGACTAGAGTACAAGTATCATGATAGCATTTCTCAGAGGTTGCTTATAGAAACTTCAAACTCCTGGGCTCAAGTGATCCTCCTACTCAGCCTTCCAAGTAGCTGACTATAGGCGCCTGGCTAATGTTTTAAGTTTTTGTGGAGGTCAGATCTTGCTATGTTGCCCCGGGGTGGTCCTGAATTGGTCTCAATCCTTGTGCCTTGGCTTTTCAAAGTACTAGAATTACTATAGATGTGAGGCCACTGTACCTGGCTTGTTTTTAAGAAGGAGAATAAAACACAGTATGATGTAAGTAAGAATTTGCCAGCATGACATAAGTAAGAATTTTCATTGGGGAAGGGGAAATAAAACATTATTACTTTAGGATGAAGATGGAATATAAATTGGTGCTTGATCTAAAGTATAACTTTAGTGATTTGTATATGCCATGTCCTTTTTTTGCCAGATGGAATTACCATGTGGATTGACAAATCTTGGTAACACTTGTTACATGAATGCTACAGTTCAATGTATTCGTTCTGTGCCTGAACTCAAAGATGCCCTTAAAAGGTAAGATAGAAGAGAAATCTATTAAGTCTTTGTTGGATAAGGGAGGTTCACATTTGATTGAAGAGTGTTCTTTTGTATTTTTTTGCATTTTTATTGAGATGTAATTCATTTATTATACAATTCACCATTTAAAAATGTTTAATGGGTTTTTATAGTATTCACAATGTGGAACCATCACTTGCAATCAAATTTTGGAACATTTTCTCCCCCATCCAAAAAAACACTTCGTACTCATTCCTGTGCTCTGTAACCTACCTCCTGCCCATCCCTAGCCAAACATTTTTCCTACTTTATCCTTTTTTTTGGGATACATAGTCTCACTTTGTTGCTCAGGCTAGAGTGCTGTGGCCTCAGCCTAAGTCACAGCAACCTTAGACTTCTCAGTTCAAGTGATCATCCTGCCTCAGCCTCCCTAATAGCTGGTATTATAGGCATCTGCCATATGTCCAGTTAATTTTTAATTTTTAATTTTTTTATTTTTTTTGAGACAGAGTCTCTGTCACCCTGGGGTAGAGTGCCATGGCATCATTATAGGTCACAGCAGCTTCAAACTCTTGGGCTCAAGTGATCCTCTTGCCTCAGCCTCCTGGTTGCCGGGACTACAGGTACCCACCACAATGCCCAGCTATAATTTTTTAATTATTTTTAATAGAGACCGTGTCTTGCTCTTGCTCAAGTGATCTTAAACTCCTGAGCTCAAGGGATCTACCTACTTTCTGTCTTATCGATTTGCCCATGCTAGGCATTTCATGTATATAGGATCATAATACATGGTGTTTTTGCTGTAATATATAGTATCTTAAAAGGTAAGGTAGAAATCTATTAAGTTTTTGTACTTAATATTTTCAAAATTTATTCATGTCGTTGCATATATCAATACTTCATTCCTTTCTTATGGCTGAATAACATTTCATTGTGTGGATATACCACATCTTGTTTATATCTTGATTGAAATTTGGATTGTTTTTGCTTTTTGGATGTTATAAGTAATACTGCTGTGAACATTCATGTTTTTGTGTGAACAAATTATTTTCACTTCTGTGTTATGTACCTATGAGTGGATTGCTTGGTATCATATCTACATTTAACTTTTTAAGGAATTGCCAAACGGTTTTTCAAAGTAGCTATATCATAGAGACCAGCTTCTCAACTCTTTTACCTAGGCTGGAGCACAGTGGCCCTACTATATAACCTCGTATTCTCTGGCTCAGTGGAGCCTTCTGCCTCAGTTTCCCAAGTAGTTGGGAATATAGGTATATGCCATCATGCCTTGCTAATTTTTTTTTTTTTTTGCAGCTTTTTGCCCGGGGCTCGGTTTGAACCTCCCATCTCTGGTGTATGGGGCCGGTGCCCTACTCGTTGAGCCACAGGCGCCGCCCATAATTTTTAAATTTTTTGTGTACAGACAGGGTCTTACTTTATTACCCAGGCTGGTCTCAAAGTCCTGGTTTCAAGTAATCCTCTTGGCTTGGCTTCCCAGAGTGCTGGGGTTACTGGTGTGAGCCATGGTATTTGGCCTGTTTTACTTTATTGATGATATGTTTGCAACATAAAAGTTTCTAATTTTGATGTAGTTTTAATTTTTTCTTTTGTCACTAATACTTTTTGTGTCATATGTAAGAAACCATTGTATAATTCTAGGTTACAGACTTATTACTATTTTTTTTTTTTTTGGTTTGTTTGTTTGAGACAGTCTTATATCTCCCTCAGTAGAAAGCGGTAGTGTCATAGCTCACAGCAACCTCAAACTGTTGGGCATAAGTGATTCTCTTGCCTCAGCCTCCCAAGTAGCTGGGGCTACAGGCACCCACCACAACACTGGCTATCTTTTTTTTCATTGTTGTTGTTATAAGAAACTTAACACAAAGGAAAAGCAATATCTAAAGGAATAATGGCCAATACTGTCCCAGGGCTGGGTTCGAACCCTCCAGCCCCAGTGTATGTGGCTGGTGCCCTAGCCACTGAGCTACAGGCACCCAGCCTAATATCTTGTTTTTTAGAAATTACAAAAGAAGGTCTGTGATATCTGATTAATTTGATGTTGGAAGTAGGTGTTCTGGGCCTTACTCTTTTGTGTGTGATTATTTAATCAGAAGACAAGACACAATATCTATCTTCAGGACACTTTTAGTCTAAAGAGAAAGACTATCAAATAAACACACACAGTTTGTCATCTGCCTTGATGGGAAACATAGGATGCTGTGGAACATTTAAGGGGGTGCCTACAAAAGATGTGTCTAAGGGAGAGCTTAGAGAAGACTTGGAGGAATTGGTCTGTATACTGGGTAGGTATTAACCCAGCCTGGATGAAAGGTAGAGGAAGTGTGAGAGTGGACTAGAGGAAGAGAGTGAAGCCAAGAGACTAAACATACTCAGTGAGACCGGACCACTCCAAGGAGAAGGATGGATATAGAAATGTGGTATGTGAGAGATTAGCCGGGGCCAGCCAGAGATCATGGACTCATTTTTATGGCATGTGGACTTTGTTTTGAGGGCAAAGGGTAATATTGGAAGATTTTAAGCAGAGTGCTGACATTCATGTTATCCTCTGGATTCTGGGTAGCTAAGATTATTATTTTATTCTTTAGTATGTTTTTCAGTTTTATTGCAGTTTACAAAAATTGCCTGGTAGAATCTTACTGTGTTTTTTAAGAATCTAAGTGTGGATTTTCTTTTATATGATTTAGTGCTCAGTGAACACTTTAGTCTGAAGACGCTTGTCTTAAACTCTGGGACAGTCTTGGCCATTATTCCTTTAGATATTATAAGTATTAGAATTTCTAGATGTTTTTCATGTATCCACACTTCAAATTTTTATGAGCTGTGCGCAGTTCTAACTTACATTTCACTGATTCATATGTCTACTTTGTTCATGTATCCACTGCTTATTTACCGTGACTACCTGTTCTTTTTTATAATCTTGTTCTTAATTTTGGATACGAATCATGCTTTTATGTCTCTGAGGCAGTGAACTATTTTTATTTAAATGTATTTTTCTTGGTTGATCCTTTAACTCTGTTGTATCCTCATTTATACCATATTCTCTTGTGTCCTAATTACATATTATCCACATAGGAGTACCTTGCAGGGGCACCTTTGTAGGCAGCACCTTAGGAAGCTGCTAGTTGCGCTGTCTTTGTCTTCTAAGATTTCCTCTTCTACTTTTGCTTCTGGGATGCCTTTTAGATTTAAGCTTTTATTCCAAGGAGAGGGCTCTTTCATGGTTTAGAAAGAGTTTGTGTAAGCCAGGGAGACTTCATCTCGTGTGATTCTGTTTTCTTGAAGGCAAAAGGAGTATTTTTGAATTCTAAATTTTCTTGAGAGAAAATTGTACTTACTAATAATGTAAGTGAATTAAGATGAGATGGTTGGGGTGTTTGTCTTCAGTAAGGTGGCACTACTGATAAAATAGGAATGAAAAGAACAGAGAAAAATTCCATCCTGAGATGCTGAGGATCATACAGATATTAGGAGAGCTTTTATTTGGTAGGTTCTAGAGAGTGGGATGTTTAAACATGAAGAGTAGAAGGTAAGTCTGTTCACGCAAGAGAAATAGACTGGGTTAACATAAGAGGCAGTGAGAGCAACGAGCTGGAGCTACAGGTAAAGTCTAGTTTGCTTGAATTTTGCCTGGTAGTGGAATGTCAGCATAATGCTGGAGTTAGGTTCTATATTTACAACCTAGAGTAAAAATTATGTGTAATAAAAATCACTGTTAAGGGCAGCGCCTGTGGTTCAGTGAGTAGGGTGCCAGCCCCATATGCCAAGGGTAGCAGGTTCAAACCCGGCCCGGCCAAACTGCAACCAAGAAATAGCTGGGCGTTCTGGCGGGTGCCTGTAGTTCCAGCTACTCGGAAAGCTGAGGCAAGAGAGTCACCTAAGCCCAGGAGTTGGAGGTTGCTGTGAGCTGTGACGCAACAGCACTCTGCCAAGGGCAATAAAGTGAGACTCTTAAAAAAAAAAAAATCACTGTTAAATTCTATAAATTACCCGTAAAGACTGTATTACATGACCATATTTTGCGTTGTATTGGACATTTGTGTTGTATCGAGCCCTGGTCTTGATAAGCACAACATAACCGGTTTTTCTGTTAGCAGTTCTTAGAATGCTATTTTTCTTTCATTGAGCACCAGTTGAAGTGGTTAGCTTGTACTTGAAAACCACACAATATAAAAATACGTACCTTTTAAACACTTAATTTCACTCAGTACAGTGAGATGGAGATGCTCATATTATGAGAAGCATACAAGAACTGAGACACTAAGGGAACAGTTGCTCTCTGATGTCATCTTTTGCTTTTGTTTTTTTAAGACAGTGTCTCACGCTGTCACCCAGGTTAGAGTACAGTGGCGTAATCATAGCTCATGGCAGCTGCAAATTCCTGGGCCTAAGTAACCCTACTGCCTCCGCCTCCTGTACTTTTCTGCTTTTCTTAAACGTAAATATTAACGTTATATTAATTTTTACATTAGCAAAATGTGAGAAGGGAAGATTTATATACCTGTTTCACGTATTGGGAAGATTTCTTGTCTCTAGTCTTTAGTGGTTTTGAATTCTGAGAGCTTCTTAGACAGTACAGTTGGCATAAGGAGTTGCTTGCATAACATACATCATTTTTATTTTGTGGAAGGCATATGATTCATTTGACAAAAGTAAATCGTGTGGAGCAGTTTCATCATATTCTGACATATGGGCTGAGAAGATGGCTGAAAAAAAGGGAAATGAATATCACAGCTCATAGCCACCTCAAACTGGGGCTTAAGTGATTCTCTTGCCTCAGCCTCCCAAGTAGCTGGGACTATAGGCACCCTCCACAATGCCCAGCTATTTTGTTGTTGTAGTTGTCATTGTTGTTTGG